ATGCTCTAACTACGAAAATATTTGATTTACAAATAAGGAATCCTACTTCGCGGAATTTCATTTATCACGGTAGGGTCTAGAACTGATTAGCCGCGATAAACAAGGGTTCACTGTACTGGTTTATAATGTTTCTTTCCCACTTACAATGGGTTCATTTTTCATCAGTGAGTTTTAAAATCGTGATTTTACTGTCTTCATAGATTTTTTTCTTAAAAATATAGATAGCAATGCTCCAGGAGGTTCTGACTTTTAAAGCAAGTCACCAGGCCTGTGTCCTGGGGCTCCTCTACACCAGGGGTTCTCCACCTTCCTCACGCCGCGACCCTCTCATCCAGTGCCTCGTGGTGGTGACCCCCCGACCATAACATTATTCTCATTGCTACTCCATGACTGTCATTTTGCTACTGTTATGAAGGGGGCGACCCCTGTGAAAGGGTTGTTCGAGCCCCCAAAGAGGTCACGACCCACAGGTTGAGAACCGCTGCTCTAGCTAGCTCTGAACCGCCAGCCTTTTGACTAATCACCAAGCCCCTAGCGACTTACGCCGCCTGGGACTTGCTATGTTTCAGCCCACTGTCGCAGCCACCGTGTCCATCGATCTTGTTGAGGGTCTTCCTCTTTTTCGCTGCCCCTGTGCTTTACTGAGCACGGTGTCCTTCTCCGAGGACTGGTCTCCGCTGACCACACGTCCAAAGTTTGTAAGGTGAAGTCTCGCCATATTTGCTTCTAAGGAAGCATTCTGTCTGTACTTCTTCCAAGACAGGCTTGTTTGTTCTTTGGACAGGGACTTTCCTGACTCACCAGCACCACGATCCAAACACATTGGTGTTCCTTATTCAGTGTGCAACTTCCACATACGGAGGTGGTGACTGAAAGCCCCGGCTTAGGTCAGGGACACCTTAGTCCTCAAAGTAGCACCCTTGCTGTCAACACTTTACAGACGTCTTGTGCAGATGTCAATTCAACTCGAGTTGGCCCTGAGGAGCAGCCCCTGCTCCACTGGTCCCTGAGACTGTCTGTCCATCTTTAGGGAAGCAGACCGCCTCCTGCATCTCCTGTGGAGCAGTTGATGGGTTCAAGTCACCAAACTTCCACTGAGTGGTCTGACGCTTAAGGACTACACCACCAGGGCTCCTCAAAGGACACAGACATTCGACTGCTTCTCCTTGCAGACTGCCGAGGAGCTCACAGGTGGCTCCAGCTCGGCCCCGGCAGTGCAATGCCGTCTCCCCTCCGAGTCTTTCTCTACACCAGCTCCTCAGCACAGTCTCCTGCCTTCAGGGACACAGCACTTCTGTGTGTTATCACCATCACCTACACCAGCGGCGAGCCCACAAAAACACCAACACCTGGCAAGGTACAAAGTCCTAACACTGATGCTAGTTCTGCGTCACTCTGACATTTAGCCCCACGGCACGACTAATTTCCAGGCTTAACAGCAGTGCCAAGACTGCTGAGGAGGGAGCGGGGGAGGAAGGGAGAGGGAAGCCCGGGGCAGCAGCACCAGGGGCAGGGTCAGCCTACTGCTTGCTGAGGCAGCTCCCACCCTGAGGCATGCCTTCCCTCTCCTGCCAGAGGGAACGGACATCGCCTTGGCACACGAAGTAAAGGCAGGGCCCTCGCATTCTGACTTCTCTGGACAGACAACCCAGCCGCAGTGGGCTAGGGCAGCCAGGACACAGGTCTGAGCTAAAAGAGCCTGTAGGTTGTAAACGTTCCCTGCATAAAAGGAAGTCATTGCTAAAGTCAACAGCTTGGTCCAGCAGATGCCGCTCACTCTGCCCCAAAGGCAGCATGGAACCCACTTCCACTCTCAGAGCCAGGCTCTGAGCACCCACGGCCCAGCGGGCACCACAGTTCCACAGTTCCCTTGGCTGAGGAACAGAGCTGAAAAGACAAGGAGCCCCCGGCTTACGAGGGCATTCTGTCCTGTCACCAGGGCTCCTTCACGTCTTCCGAGGTTGCTTGGTTTCTGTGACACACTGGAGAGAGAGCATTCTGAAAACGGAAGTGTCACTCTATAGGCTCCAGCAACCGGTGGATCCCCCTGCGACCCCTACCCCCCACATGCTAGTTTACTGGTTAGAAGAGCATCCACACAGCAGACCTCACGCCAGCTCCAGAAACCCTCCCTCAACACAAAGACCACCCCCAGAAGGTGGTGCAGCCGGTTACATGCTCAGCAGGAGAAGCGAGGCAGCTCTCCTGTGCTGTCCTGTCCTGTCGGGCTGCGAGGAGGTGGAAGGGACTCAGCGGTGGCAGTGGGATTTCAAACCATGACAGGCTTCACAAGCTGACCAGCTGGCTCAGAAGAGCGCCCACCGGGCTTGGGCAGCTGCGGCGTTTCCAGGCCCCTTGTCCGGAAGAAGCCAACAGTGAGTGGAGAAAAGAAAATGCACGGTCCACGGGGCTGGGCCCAGGGGAGAAGAAACCAGGACTGAGAAATGTCTCCTGATGCCACCGAGGCAACTCACCGAGTGACCCACAGCGACAGTGCCAGTGTGGGACACAGGAAGGGGCACCCACCTTGAGCCTGTTACCCAAGACCTCTCCAAAGCACCCCACCACAGCATCTGGATGACCAGTACAGAGACGACGGAGTTCCTGTCAGCTGCTCACTGTCACTGCCAATCACAAACCCAGTGGCAGCCAGGGAGGAGGAGACAGCGCAGCCCAACCCCGAGTCCTCCCTGTACTCGGTACCCCCATCCCCCTCCTATAGCCACCACGCCTGCTGGCAGTTACTGCCAGCTCACAGTCTTCCCAGGCGCTCCACCTCTCCAATTCCAGGCTGGCGGCTGGTGGTCAAGGCTTTGGTTACAGAAAGCCAGGAAGGAAAGCCAGGGTGTCTGCCTGGGGGATGGACAAGACAGCGGCCCCCAGGGCAGAGGAGGCAGAGGGCAGGAAGAGTCCACACCCAAGGGGCTACTTTTCACAGCAAAACAAAAACAAAGCTCACACGTGAAACCAAAAACACGTGTGTCTACGTGAGGGCCGGTCAGCAAAAGTACTACTGGTGGAGCTCCAGTACATTCGTGTGTGGTTGACCGCAAACACACGTGTTTTAGCCTAGCTCTGCCATCCACACATGGCTGCCGATGAGCGCTCTCGGTCACACACGGAGCAGAACTGCACCCCAAGCTTTCCTTCCAAGCCAGCAAATTGTTAGGGGCTACAACAGCCTCATCTTTCTTCCTCGGAGCAAGCAGCGGTAGGGTTCGGACTGCTGACCTTGAGGAGCCTTAACTGCCCAACTCCTGACACTCCTGACATCACCGGGGTCAAGCACAAGCGGTAGCGTGGAGGAGGGATCTGCTGGGCCAGGTCCATTCAGAGCAGGGAGGTCAGCGCAGAAGGTGATGGCCACTGTTTTGGGACGTCCACTGGGTCTTCATCTGGATAGATTTTCTTGGAAGGAACCAGGGCAGTCATAAGGGCGCAGAGGAAGTGAATAAAAGTGAAAACTGTCTTGGTGTAAAAAAGACCAGACAGTTACACAGAAGAATTTTTTTCTGACATGACTTATTCCAGGGAGCAAAGGTGGTCCTATATGGGGAAACTCATCCCATCCACCCTGCAGCCTGTCTTTTTCTTGTTTCTTCACACAAAATGGCCAAGCCGCCACTTGGCTGGAAGCACAGAGGCTTCTCTGGAGAAAGGTTTTCCAGATGAAACACCCCCTCCAGAGATCAACAGATCTTACCGGAGAATGTCTGGAAGCAACAGCTTCACTTTCCATCATTCCGTTTAATAAAGGTTCCTGTGATTTGGGAGCAATTCTTTTTATTTGTTTAAAACTAACTTGTCACAATGAATCCAAGTCACTTCCACTTTTACTTCCCCCCTTTTGATAACCACTCAGACCAATGTTTAGGTCTGATGGGTAAGGGGTCTGGAGGGTAGCAATCCTTTTTTTGATCTTATCCTCACACTTACTGTAAGTTATAAAGGCAGCTAATTCAGTACAGGGCCACGGAGCTGGTTTAACTCACAGGCCCCCTCCCATGTGACAGAGCAGAATTGCCCCTAGGGTCCGCTAGTCTCTGCTTGACGAGAGCAGACGGCCAGGCCTTTCTCCCTGGGTTTGTACTGCCAACCTTTGGGATGACAGCCGAACGCTTAACTGTTGAGCCAACAGGGTACCTTAAATTAACTAAGTGCTCACTAAGGCTTAAACTGCAAGCCACATCGACATTTCAGCCTAATTTTTGCCAACACTATGATGACCCCACAGGGCACAACTCACTCCCTATTTGACTCTTCCTACATAATTTTGCAAAACCATCCCCAATTGGACCAGCTTTTCCCAAGGGCTCCATCTCTGATAACGATGTCATTCCACTTGTCTGTGGCCTGGAACTGGCCCATCAAATCTCGAATGCTCACACAAACCCCCATCTCTCACCAAGCTTCATGAGGTTGCCCACCTTGCATAGGCTTTGCTGCGTCATTCACAGCGCACGTGACTGTTCTCTCGAGAAGCAGGGAGGGACCCTGGCAGACGCTCAACTGGCCAGGGCACTAACAGACACTGGGCCGAGGATCTTCCGTCACCGCTGATCCCTTCCAGCCACACAACTGGAGAGACAGATGCAGGTCACCAGGGGGCTGATAACAAGGAGCCTCATCCACACCAGGAAGGCTGAGAAAAGGCCAGCTGAAGCCAGACTCCTCCAAACATTTATCCTGGGCCCTCTACGGGCCAGGCCCAATGCCAGTGCGGGGAACACAGTCAACATGCAGTGCCCTCTAGGACAAGTCATGAGTGAAGCCAGCCCAGGTGTGGTGCGGCACCACAGGAAGAAATATGCAAGTCACATGAAGCGGGGAAAGGTGGCCTCTCTCGGAGCCCGGCCTCTGGGGAGGAGTCAGAGTCATAAATGCAGAAACACCAAGAGGAGAAACTCGGCCAAGGTCAGGGCGGGAGCAAAGAACGGCCTGGCCACTGAACACCAAGCTGCTTCAGAAATGGCAGTGTCCGGCCAGCAGCTACCTGTGAGTCACTGCATGCAGGCGGGGAAGGCCCAGCTGAAGATCAGAAGGGAAAGCCGCTCTGGAAGGGGCCTGGGGCCAGGCAAACAAGTCTGAGGCCGGTGCCACGGCAGCACACATCTAAGGAGGGCACCTAACAACTGGTATAGACTGGATCAGCACAGGAGCAACGCCCTAGGGCAGTGGTTCTCAACCCTCCTAATGCTGCGGCCCTTTCATACAGTTCCTCATGTTGTAGTGACCCCCCCAAGCATAAAATCATTTTCGTTGCTATTTCGTAACTGTCATTTTGCCACTGTTATGAATCATAATGTAAATATCTGATATGCAGGATGTATTTTCATTGTTACAAATTGAACATAATTAAAGCATAGTGACCCATCACAAAAACAATATGTAAATATATATTGTGAAGTATTTCTTTTTTAAATCCAAAATGGGTTTATTAGAATGGCTTCCCACTCTTCGTGCTGCTTCCGTCTGAAGGAGCCTCCTGCGAGCCTGGCTTTTCCTCCTGTAGGCTGACAGAGGACCAGAGAGCAGCCAACACACAGAACGACTGTCTGTGCGTGGCTGCAGACCGTGGTGATGCTGTAGCAGCCTGGGCATTTGACATCCACGAAGTAGGAATTGGGGCTCTGCAGCAGGCGCTGCTTCTTGTGTTTTCTCTTCTCCTCTTCAGGAGAGGGATGAAGGAGATCCTTTGGGAGAGGCATGATTGCTGGGGAGGTCGTCAACGCCAGAAAGAGAAATATTTATTTCTAATGGCAAATAAATGACATTTTGTCTTGAAGGATGGTGTAGCATGGGTAACAGTCTTCACGCTGGGTACTCATATGTGGGCGTATCTGCATGTGGGTGGACCCACCTGGAGAAGGATAGAGGAGCGGTGCCTCGGTTCCTAAGACCATCAGAAATATGTAATTTCTGAAGGTCTTAGGTGACCCCAGTGAAAGGGTCGTTTGACCCCCAAAGGGGTCTCCACCCACAGGTTGCGAACCACTGCCCTAGGGAAAGGCAATCCTGGGCCTCCTGTTCTGGTGTGTGGGGGTGGGGAAGGGGGGGGGGTGGAGGAGCTGTGCAGAAGTCACCCACCAGGTCTGCACAAAGACTAAGGGGTAAAGGGGGGTTGAGACTGGCACAAATGAGCCTCGGGCTTGCAACACAGGTGAGAGGGGGCTGCAGAGCTCATCTGAGGGTGGCTGGATGGGCTAGGTGGAGGTGGCCGGGTCCAGTACAACATTCCACATTAAAAAAAAAAACCCAAAACATTCTCCATTTCCTTCCCAGGAAACAAACCCAGAGCGACTGTGGACTATGCCACCTGACTATAAAAGGTCTCCAAGCCCCAAAGAAGGCCATCGCCCACACTACAAGTGCAGGGGCGGAAAGAGACCAGTGAACTAACGGCGAGCCCAAGCCATGAGGAACACTGCCGACCAGGTGGAGGGGTCCCAAGCACCCCAGTGAGGCGAGGAGCACCAGGCCTGTAGCTCGTCTCCACGAGGAGTGAGACCACTGGCCAGTGGCCCAGAGCACCGGCTCCCAAACTGACCAGAGACTCTCTGCCTCCCACATCCCGGTAAGTATGAAAATTATAAAACTGCAGGATAAAGTGTAGGCATCTGCTTTTGCTCCCCTCCTGGGTGATTCTAGCACCCCCCAGGGGGCAGTAACACCCACTTTGGGAAACACTGGCTGGGGGCAAATGTTTTTCAGCCATTTCACAGATAGAGAATTTCATGGCTTTAGATGGTCAGGGGAGGCTGCAATCTGCAAGGCCAGCAATCCAACCACCCGCGGATCTATGGGAGAAAGCCAGGGCTTTCTACTTCCATAAAGAGCTACAGGTTTTTTTTTGTTTTTTGGGGTTTTTGTTTGGGGGGGTGGGGTCCACAGCCCCAAACCCACAGGGGCATTTCAACCCTGTCTGATAGGGTCACTATGAGATGATCACGAACAACCTTCTAGCCTAACCAACTGCAAGCTTAGGCCTGGAAAGAGAACTTCATTTTAATTAATTAACTAACCAATTAATTAACAAAAGGGCGGATTCAGAAGTGAGCTCCTTTTCTCTCTCTTTTTTTTTTGATCTCTATCTTTGCTGCTCTTTCCTGGGCTTCCTTCCCAGCACTGACCCCATGCTGGCAGGGCAGTGACTGCCAGGCCACAGGTGCAAAGAGGAAGTGGAATGTGAACAGTTTCCTCGGCTGCATTATGGGCTCGCAGGAAACTGGGGTCCACAGCAGGGGCAGAGAGCTGAAACTGGATTGGGAAGCTAGCTTCGGCACCCACAGTACCTTCCAGACACTGCACTCACAGGAAATAAGCATGGAAAGAAGTGGACTCCCAGACTCCGCAGTTAAGTGCTACACATTTGGGGGTGCACCCGCATGCTGATGGGGAGGGAACTCTGGGAAAGAGTGGCAGAGTTGTGGGGTCTTTACCTTTTCCTGTTCCAGTGAAATAGGTCCACACCGCTAGCTTTTGTACTTTAGGCAAAACCCTTTCTCAAAAACAAACAACCTTCCTCTCTGCCGGAGTCTCCGTTCTTCACGCCATCTTAAGTCCTCCCTTTGATCACCCACACATCGACCACGGTGGCCTAACAGTCTTGGCGGGGAATTAACACACAGAGCAAATGACTTTCACTGGAGGAACTAGCAATGAAAATCGCAGCGGGCCTTTAACACTCCCCCCCCAGGCCCTAAACCCGTATGGGGACTTTCTGGGCGGGAGTACGACGCGTACTAGGGGAGACCCCGCTGACAAATGCCGGACTTCGAATAAGCCCGTCTCGAGATTCGACATCGATTTCACACGGGTTGAGGGAGGTGGCTTGAGCCAACCCAGTCCCCTCCAGCCCCCTCCTCACCTCTCCCCATCAGCCTCAGGAAAA